TAGAGAAGCTTTAACCCGTCCTACGCGCGTCATATATGCAATGAACCGCTCGGCAGTACCGACATCAGTAAAGGTCATGTCATGCCCGTTGCCTGAACTAGGAATGATTGTGTACTAGTGGCGTTTTTGTGTATTTTTACACGATCAAATAGATCCATGGGACGACTGCATATACGTGTACGGTGTAGGCAGGGAAAACGGATCACCGAGTAGCCATAGTGGTAAAGATAGGCTTTGCATAATCACTGTGAGTGACTGTCCACAAAGTCGTAGAGAAGTTTTAGTGAGTATAATTGTGTCTGACTAGGGTGGATCAGAACTAGGTGACGCTTCAGGCAGGGCAGCCTAAGTTGGACTGGTCGCATTGAAATCGCGGGAATCCGCAAGCGTACGAGCTGATTAATTTGGCGACTATAGCGTAGATATAAGCCCGTAATAACGTAACCTAAAAACCTTCGCTGTCGCTAGAGCCGTAGAAATATCCATCCTCTGAACAATTATTCATTCTTGGCGACATCCTACCAAACGATGCAGGTTGGCCTGATTTAGGCCGTTTTTGTTTCAAGCTAGATTTACAATTAACGACAGAGTCTACTAATTAATGCCACGACAGGAATTTGTTTTTTTTTTTCTTTAAACGAATTTAATGCCTCAAGATGAGGAAAACTAATTACTTCTGAGGTAATTAGTGTGTTAATCTAAACCTTGTCAGGGACTAGTGGGGGTGCAGGTTGCATACACGGGGCCTACAATTTCGGAAGCGTTCAGCGCCAAACATATAAAGCGACCAATTAGAAAATACGGGACATTCAGCTGTAAGACGGTCTCCGCGACGTGATTGGGCAGAGAATACGCACATGGCAGGCACGCCACGGTGGCATGCACTGTAATAACACGGTTGGTCACCAAAGTGGCAGTAATAAAATGTTCTAATGTCTGATGAATTGGACAACACGAGAACCCCTGAAGGAAAAACTTGTAAAAAATACCAATAGAGTATCACAAGCGCTAGGAGTAGCTAAAAAAGGGAATTGTAGCAGCTGCATTTTTGGTAGGGCTTGGGCAATGCATAACCCTAATACAATAGCATAGATGTACTGCGTTAATTGCCACTAATAATTATTTTATTAAGCACACACGTGAATACTGTCAATATAAATAAGGCTGAAAAAGATTGAGATCCAAGGGCGTCCCAGTATATAAAATAATTTCGTTCTTGCAAGACACATTCCCTAATAACTCTAGTCACTAAAAGGCAGCTTGACATCTCGAATGGCAATTAGATATCCGGGTTGGAAGGATTATCCGAGAGCTAGCAAATAAATATCAATAATAAGGGTGCGAGTAAAGCTCTCGTGAACTTCCGTCATACTTGGAGCATGGAATTTAAGATGCAGAGTGAGGGCTTACAAGGCCCAAGAAGAAACCAGCACACAGTAGATAAAGCCGCTAAATTAGAAAACCAAGCTTTAAAATATGGGTATCCTGAGAGGCCCGTTTATCAGTCCGTAGCAGCCTTTTTTGTTGGCTAATAACAAGTCGAATGCTAAACAGAACAAGACAGGAAAGGCAACAGGCTCTCCTATACACAAGTGACGTATTGAAATTAAGTTACCACCGAAATAAACGCCTAAGAGCTGCCAACAACTATTTTACGTGGCCGACAGGAGAGGAGCTGGATGTTGGCTGCAAAATAATATCTACTTTTGGTGAACAATCAGCCGCAAACCAGCAGTGGCGGTGCTAGCAGACTTTGGCGGGATTGAGGTCTGGCAAAACGGATTATTTCAGAAAATGCCACAGAGGTTCGCGACAACGTTAGGACGTGGCGAACATGAACCGCCGTCTTACGGGCTTGACTCCCACATAGAAGCAGATTTCAAAACTAGAGGAATCAATTTGCACCAGACTCGTGAATTTAAATGATATGCAAGTCCTATCATCACTAATCCGGACTCATGTCACAGTGTCCACGGGGACCTGTACGTGCGGACTTCCGTAAATGGATCGGATGAAAGGTATGCAAATTTGCTGCCTTGGAAATAAAAGAGAATTAAGCATGACAGAATAAAAACTCCCCAACAACTGAGAACGCTGAACAATGTGAATTAACGTAACAAAATGTGGACGCCGCCTGCCCTTGAGGCGCACTGCCGGATTATTTTTCCCATCCAAATGATGAGGAATAATTCTGCTCCTATGACAGCGGTCAACAGCTCAAAGTGAGTAAGCTAAATTTAACTTGCACTGAAAATCAGCGACGCCTGATATCGCACATTCGGCGTCTCCGTGGTGCTGTTATTAGTAGCTCTTTTGCAGAAGTGCCCGCCTCAAAATTAGATTACGTGCAGAAAGAGGCTGCCTGCCACGAAGGTCTATTGGCCCGCAGGTGTATCCTAATGTCGTTTCGGCGATAGAATAATCAAGACAGGCGACTGAGATGCATCTTCTAGGAGAGCCGTTGATTACTATGTAGTGGAAAAGCGATAGACAAATGGCGCGGGGCGTGCCGGTACGACCAGCTGCTTTCGGCGCAGCATGATATATGCAATTATCTGATACTCAAACAAGGACCGTAACCAAAATATATAAAAACGCCACATACTCGTCTGAATCTATTGGGATAAGTCGGTCTTATTGTCGTGTGAGTGCCGTAGTCACGGTCGACTGCGAAAATAGAGCTAAACATTATTTTGTGAAAATTTGTCAATGACACAAACCACGGTTTGTCGAAAATAGCGACTTGTGGAAGCAGAAAGTCCTGACCAACTAAAGGATAGTGTCACCTCCGCCATCAGCCGCATTTCTCTAGTGTGTCAGAAAAAGTTAAAAGGCTGAGGTGCGCAGGAATTAGTTATTTGTCTAGATCGAATTCAGAAGTGCCGAGAAGATGCCGTCGGTCTCTAAGCCCTGCATCAGGGTATTCCTTAGGTGAGACAAAGGCTGTAAAAAGGCTGGGAAAATCAATAATAATCTTTCATTGAAAACAATTCTGCTCCAGAATAAGTCGGACGATAAACAGCTACCAGAGGGACTATTAGAGACAAATCTGTATTATCGTAAAACGAGTAAAGCAGACGATAAAGCAGAAAATCACACTGACGTTTCCCACTGGGAGAACTAAGCTTGTACCTAGTCCCGAGTAAAATTGTAATGTTTCAAACTTGTAGGAAAGGGTTAATGCAATACATTTGCGTAAATTGCCATCCATTCGGATATTGTACGTGACAATTCCAACATTTGTAGATATTGATGGTATCAATCGGCTGGGTTAAAATTCAGTAAAATTGGGTATCAGTAAGGCGCAGATGGTTAGCCCAAGAAGAGTTCGATCGATTAAGGGTAACTTTATAAGGCGATGTGTAAGATGCCAGCAAATTAAGACGACTTGTCAAGCAAAAATTGAAAGTTATTTGACATGTTCTCGGGATTTCCGATTAACATGGTAACTAAACAAAATTCAAAGCTTACGATGCTTTGCATTGAAGCTGTTATTAGAGGGCTCCGACTACTACCAACGACTTTTCGATCAGGAATACAAGGTAAGTGTTATGGTGAAAACAAAAGTTGGTAAGGGCTTTTCATGGGGTTAGACGGAAGGGTAAACTAATTTGGACTCACGGCTTTGTCACTTATCTCAGGAGAATACACTGAAGAACTGAAAATTAGCCCAAAAATTGAAATCACTTAGCGTACGTTTAGCATTATTTGGGTCAAAAATGAAATAGAAAGAAAAGAAGCTTAAGGGCAACAAGGGGCTGAGAAAACAAAACGAGACCTGCTAGTAACTGATCCAACAAACTAACATACCTGAAAAACCTTTTGCAAATCGAACACGTTACGAAATATTGATTTGTCGAAGAACACGTGTACGTGGTTCCCAAGGTCAATTATACCCCACGACTTTGCAACGCGGAAAACGCGGCCAACATGTTGACTTAGACGCGAGGGGTCTTTGCTGTTTGGCAACTCGGGACGAGAATCAAGAAGACGAGACTGCATGTTCCAAGCATTCGCATTGATCCGAACACAAAAGCTGGTAGGTATACGACGATGCGTTTTTCCATTTTCTGCTTCCGCTTCGCCGGTGAATTGATCCTCAGTGGATGGACAGAGAATATCGAAGAATTGTTTGTATTTGTCGAGAAAAGCGTATAATTCGAATCGGGTCAGACCAATTATTTTCTTCATATCATATGGAAAGGCAATCAACTCCTTTATTACTAATGCTACGTGCAGGCCGTTGCTGAATGCGGGCCGAAGGATTCGTCGAAGCACAAGGATAACCGAGAATTCCGATGCCGGCAGTATGCAGGACGTTGCGTTTGCAAAATCTGTCGAAGAAGAGAGGAGTACTTCAACTTTTAAAATTCCATTCGGGAGTACACCTTGATCGTTTGGCGAGATACCAGCATAATTTCCTCGATCCTCATTCTGGTGTTTATGATGTGAATTACGCCTTGATTTTGACAGACCAACCGAACCATCCTTGAGATGAAAGACTTCAGGGTATTGACGAAGAAAGGAAGACAGGGACTTAATGTTAGGGAATAAGGCGCGGGTAATAGGTGTGACATAAGAAAGACAGTCCATTAGTCTCTGAATTGGGACAAAGCGATGTGGCCCACACGACAGTAAGTAATTCTGCAAGAACGCTACGGTGTTTTGGCGAAGAATCGGATCAGAAAGCAGTGATATTTGTGATGGTGGATCAAGGATAGAAGGATTTAGACACGGACAAAAAGAATCCATTCCTGCATATTTTGAGTTTACCCAAACGGGACTTTGGTCGACATCAAGAGTACCCGCCGGGTAAACATAATTTCCGGCAATAACAAACAGAGAAGGGAACATTTGCAGGAATTCAATAAACTCAGCCAAAGAGGCACTGTTGATCGGTACGGAAAACGCGTATGGATCGTGCACTCCATTCATATGGGCAAAAGAGGCCACATATAGAGCATGGATTGGCAGAGGGCCCCTGTGATTGAGCAAGATTTCCAACAACAATAATGCTTTTGGGTAGTTTTGTTCAGCAACACCATTTCCTAGCATCATCATTCCAGTTCGAGGCAAATTGTTGAGGGAGCAACCCGTGCTTCCAATCTTCCCTTCTCCAGAGGTCATCAATAAAGGCCGCTCGCGTCCTCGAACAAAAAAGGCGCCAGTGTTAGGTCAGATATGATTGGAGGGAACGATTCTAAATTCCCGAAGGCATACATAAGTTCTACTTTACACACATGAGTGATTCGGAAAATATGAACTCTTTTGTCTATATTTTTATGTTGCCGAGACTATTTCCAAGGCTATGAGACGAAAAAGTCAACTGTGATCTATGGTTACCAAGGTTTGTCATATCCAGGAGTTGGAAGCCGAGACTAAAGGAAACAGATTTAGGAACAGTAAAGCAATCATCTTCAAGAGAGATTCTATTTTATATAGAGTGAACACGTGCTGGGGACACTGCCAATAAGGTGAAATCATCGAATTATTGTAGCAAACTTGGTGAATGCAAGTAAGATAGGAAAAGGACGCCATGAAACTACTGAACGGTTGAAAAAAATTCACGAGGACAGAACCGGTAATGAGCTAGATAGTGAAAAAGAGGCAACCAGAAAGAGCTTTATTTTGGTTAGGCATGTTTAAAAGATAATAATGTAATCGATATCAGCAGTAAATCCAAATAGATAAATAAATGATTTTATTCTGCTTAATGTCACAAGCACCATTTGGAGGACTGTTGAAACTGCGCCACAATCATATCTAAGTGACTGCTGCCATTGTCCCATGCTCTCTCAAGCTCTCTCAGACCTGGATGGACGCATTCAGATTTCGCCCTGTCTTTTCCAGTGGCAACTGCTGTCTGATATAGCAACATAGGTCTCTGTGCACGATATAGCCCTCCTGGTGGCTTTTGCGTTTTAAATTCCATCCTGGGCTTCGGCCTGATAATTGTTGTGACTCAACTTAGACGCCGCGGGTCTGCCCAACGCAAAAAATGGAATGGCCGTACAGCTACACCAGTAGATTATGTCGGGCTATAAAGCGGTCATCTATGAGCTCCAAGCTGAGATACGAAATATCAAGTTAAAAGTGTCCGACTTAAGAAACAATAGCCAAACCCCAGAGATAGGTGAAGCCAACAAAATGACGATGACATACAAAATACAGAGCTTATTCAATAAATTGGGTGAACTCAAACTGGCAGTGGACCATTTGGCAACCTGACCTGGCAGCTCTAATGTAAACATAGTTATATGGGCAGATAGCAGGTGCAGAATTTAAGCTGGTAGTCTTGTCGTAAATGTTTTAATCGACAATAGAAGGTTTTCCAAATCACAAGTCAGGCAAGACAAAGTTGGTAGGAACAGCTTTACTGAAAGAAAATGAACAGTACAAAACTGTGTGACGAACCAGCTGCCAGCTATGTCTGCACGCCAGTTGTGTCCGTGAAGTGGTGTGTTGTTGTGAAGCTTTGCCTGTGTGATGAGTCCTCTGCCGTCTGCGGCCAATCAAATGAAGCGGGAGTGTCGATTGACTTGGAGCTTATACGCTTATCAAGTGGCGTGTTGATCGAAAGGGCGAGAAAAGCCGATAGCGCGCGGAGTGGATAATAACGCGTGGGAGCAGGGCCTGACAGAGCGAGGGTAGGATGACTCACGCGCGATTTTCAGCTTATCCGTATGGGATGAATAAATAACTAAGTTGTTTTATATTTTAGGCCCGGTGGGCCTCGTCATCGGTTGTAGGGGCGGGGGAATCGCGATACTCTAATGAGATGGCATCGACTACGTCCCAGATATTTCCTCATCAAGTAGGAAAAATCCCTGCAAAATACTTGGTTGTTAACGGAGAGTGCCGACCCAACCGGACCTCCATATTGCTCCAGTATACAAACCCAATACACCACACACGGTTGCACTTATTACTGAGATAAAGCGAAGCTGCTGCAGCAAACATGTCTTAAAACCTGGAGATTTTAACTCGCCAGACCTTACTTGGGATTTGATGCACATGTTGCGATCAGAAAACCCATTCGATCAGAACTTTCTTCCATTGCTAAGTGACGAATTTCTTACGAAAACGTCACATTGGACACGCGGTTCCAAAATGGGTAACAGTCTAGCTGTTTGCATCTTGCCACTTGTAGCGATGAAAACTGTAGCCTTGGATTAAATACTCAGACCCCTTGATCATCGCGTTCTTGTTTGGAAGTACAGAAATTTCGCTGCGCCTGTCACTCAAGCAGTACCTAATAGGATTATACCAAAATGAAAGGACTACTCAACGAGATTGTCTGAAGCCCTGTACACGTACCTGATCCGAATGACGCCTGGTGCTTCTTTTGGAACTTAACTCAACATTAGTAGACAATTATTGCCCGCCTAAAAAGAGTTCACGCGTCTCCCGGCCACTGATTATACAAAGGAACCTCAAGAAGAAAATAAGGCTGTGGAAAACATATTCTAGCTACCACCAACCGAAGCACCTCTGTGTTTAAGAAATAGCGAAGTCTATGTCGAAAAATCATGCGGATAGAACGATTAGCCTTTCAGTCAGAACTAGTCAAAGAAATACCTAACAACTCAAAATGTTCTTTTCTTACGTGAATAAGACAAAACGAAATCCAGATCTCATTCCTTGTCTGAAGGATAACTAGGGGAACAAATTAAACGATACTTCAGTTAATACTTATCTCTTGCCTAACTTTTTATTTCTATGTATACCAAAGAGCCACCCTTTAACGAGAATTAACAACGATATATTGTCCCGGCGACAGATATAATTAGCACGGTGGCGTTTGCACCAGACACAGTTAGAAAAACCCTGAGATAACTACAGCCCACTAAATCACCTGGCCTGGATGGCATATTAGCGGAACTTCCGAATGAGCTCGCAGAACAACTGGCCTCCCAATTTTCCAAGACCTTCGATGAAGAAGGGGGCTTTGTCAACCGACTTGAAGCTAGACAACATAAACCCTATTTAGAAAGAAGGAGAGAGAACCTCACGTAATATATTTAGATCAGTTAGTCTCAAAAGCATTTGTTACAAACTAATGGAGAAAATAATCAAAACGGAACTTAGGAGACATATTAGGGAGAACAGCTTGCTAAGTGCGCGGCAACATGGATTTATATGTGTCCGATCTTGTCTCACTAGCCTGCTAAAATCCATGGAAACTGGACGAATTCATTCGAAATGGGTTCGTCGGTCGAGGCGACCTATATTGACTTCAGCAAGGCATTCGAATCAAATGGTTACGACTGGAAGTCTACTCAAATGGTCAGCCCATTTTCTTACATGCAGGCTTCAGCGTGTTTGTATTTGAGACGCCAAATTGAAATGGAAAACCATTTTCAGTAGGGTTCCGCAGGGGAGAGTTCGGAGTCCAATTCTGTTTCTGATATATGTGAAAGGCTGTCTTGATGGTCTAACCTGTGAGATTGTAATGTTTACTGGCGATCTAAAGATATGGAAGTCAATCGAAAGCTCGCAGGATGGGTAGAGCTTGCAAATTTACTTGAATTACTTGCAAAATTGGTCCCTGCAGCTCAATTTCAAAAAATGCCAGTCATCCGCCTATGGTCTACTTACGAAAAGGGGATAATATTTGAACACGAGTACTTCATGTAGGTTAACAACTCGAGCAAGTGAACAAACTAAGGGATCTGTACATTTGTATGAAACCCTTTCTAAAAACCATTAACTTACTATACTAAAACTGCAGAGAGCTATAAATATCCTAGCAGCGATCAAAAGATCCTTCCTCTGTTTTAACGCGGGGCTTTTTGTGTGCGTGTTTTAGACATTTTTCTGGCCGCCGTTAGAATATTGCTTTCAGGTGGGGTGCCCCTGGATGAACCAAGATTACGTAGAGCTAGAGAAAGTTCAACGAAAGGCGACCAACCTACTCAGCGGCTTGGAATTTCTACCATATGAGGGTTGGCTAGAAAGACTAAATTTGTTTCCTGCCCCCAATAGGCAATATAGGGGATATAATCATGGTCTTTAAACTCGTCAGAAGAGCTGTTGAGATGGCTGATTTTTTGAATTGGCGAAAACGACACTCCTAAGGTCATCAGTGCGAACTGAAGAAACACTATGCGAAACTTGAAGTGTGGGCCAACTTCTTTTCACATCGGGTCACTGAACACTGGAGCAAACTAACTCCTTCAGATTTATCGGCAGTAAGTGTTGAGGTATTCAAAATAGGGCTAGATAAAACTTTAGGCAATGGTCGTATATTTGGTAGACATCAATGATTACTCAGAAACATATGCATGATTTACCAGAATCTATTCGTAAATAATGTTTTCAAAGGTCCTGCATATCTTCCTTATATATACTGAATTATTAGGGTACTTTCACGGTAAATAAGGAATGATTTTTCGAATGATTTTTAGGACGAGTAAACATAGACTTTACAGTGTTCGGTCAGTGTTTATAATGTAAGTAATCTGAGATAAAAAAAGTGTTGGCGAACATCAAAAAACTGCAAAGAAGATGAAGACGCGATCACGGGGATGGCATATTTATTTATCTGGACTAGACATTTGCCTGTGTACCTGTTTCAACTACATCAACGAACATAGTGATACATCCCCTGCTATCACATCCTTCGTTCATGCGGTGATGAGGTTCGGTCCAGTTTCCAGCCAAGGATGCACATCGTTACGACGACGTGAGACGGCGTGGATGTGGACTCAGCCTACTACAAATGCAACCTTCTCCCTCCCAATTACCTCCACCTCCCTTTTCTTGTAAATTAACTAGGAAAACACGTCAATTATTGCTACAAATTCATTATCTCTCAATATGGCCTCTTGTACAAAGCCGAAGGCTCAGACAATACAAATACTATACCAGCGCTTGCATCAATATCTTCTTTATAACAGGAATCTGTGGTTCGCATATTTGCTTTCAGTGGTGAAAAATCCCTTTAAATTTAGCTGAAAAAGACAGAAAAAAATGTGATTTTATTATTTTTAAGGAGAAAAATGTTCCCCATGAGAGGGTAAATGTGTGTGTGGAAAGGGATATTCCAGCAGGGGAGAGTATACAGGCTTTTGAAACGGTCCTCTTTGAAGTAGAATTCTTAGACCGGATGAAGCTAGTGGCTACAG